TTATTATTAGCAAGCTATTATTAAATTTATTAATCAAGTGATTTTTCGGTTTAAATTTTTCTCATAATTTTTTATAATTTTCAAGTTACAAATGAGTAACTTATCTGTCTACTGCTGCCCAAGGACCCATGCGACCAACTTAAAAGAAAAACCTAAAATTTACTATCATTAAGATTAGGAATTAGATGGGAGTTTTTATAGCCGATTTTAACACTGGCTCTCCAAACCAAAACACAACAGCGGATGTACTGCAGAAATAGGTATACAGGTAGATTTTCTATTCTCAGTCAGAAAATCTAGAAAGAGTCCTAATACTAAAAAGGTACATAGTAGCCAACGAACTCTAAACACTATCATCACATTTTTTTCGATTTGAAGTGCATTTTGCCATAGGGGATGTAGAGAAAATCTGCATACTTATCCAAAAAAACCCTAAAACAATTCGTATATTTGGATTACGCCACCAATTACGGGGCCAGCGTTCCCGCTTTATTATCTTCTATATAATTATGAGAATGCACCCAGAAGTGGGATGTTTTCGAGTTCACGTTACTAATTTATTTATTTGAATTCCCGATACATGTGTGTGTTTACCTGTTATTAAAACAGAGAGTTTAAGAAACAACGAAACATGTATTGGTTTTAAAAAATACTTAGGTGTTTATGTAACGTAAACTAAACAAAAATTAGTTTTATATATTTTGATAGTCTTATTAAAATAAAATCAGTAACCAAAAAATTGAAATTGGAAAGATTTCATATTTAATTTAATATATACTTTGATTTTAAAATTCAAAATAACAAGTCTGCTTTCAAGTACACAGTCTGCAGAATCGACGAGGTACTTAATCATTAAAATTCCTTTAGCAGTGTGACAAACAAAACTCTGTTTATCTCCCTCTTACAACAGATTTTCCGGTCTATTTGTCTTTATCTGTCGCTTAATGTGACACAATCGTCGCATGCTCGGTTTGCTTGGCTTGGCTTCGGTATGGCGAGGAATAATTATATTTCTGTTGTGCCACGCTTAAAGCCAAGACGGTAACCGAATTTAAATATTATTTCAGTAATAATTTCCATGCTTAATCTTTATTTCAGCCTGCAAATCAAAGTTTATTTTTAAATACAAGACGTTGAAAGCAAATGGCAAAGTATGCTTAAGTATAGTGGATATTTTCTTGACCTTTTTGAATAAGCTCGTGATTTATTTGGAGTCTCCTGAAATACCTACTAGGTACATGATGCTCTTTTAGTGTTTGGTTTAGATACTAACTAAAAAAGTCGTAAAACTTTTATTCTTTTTTAAGTAATAATTATGATTAATGAAGTAATTTTCTATAGTCTTGCGATCGAAATGTAACGTACCCTGACTATCTGGTATCGCCTAACACCAACATCCTTTATACTATTTTAATGAGTTTTGGCGGGAACTTGGCCTTCGAGGGATTGTTGTTCCTGTTTTATTTCTTAAATAATGGTTTGAAATGGGTTTTGATTCGTAAAAGTGATGCGATATTATGAATTAAGTGTTGCGTGTGTAAGCTATTAGAGAAAACGACAAAACAAGTACCTCGAAGTTGATATAAACATCAAGTTATTTGATCGCTTAGGCGCCTTATGAACTTGAGTGACAACCGTCATCAACTATCCGCTGGGTTGAGCTATCGTCAAAATCTCTCAAAAACTTCGCAATGTGACCCATCAGCATATTGTGAAGAAAAGATCTACGAAGACTCCGAAAGAAATGATGGGCTCAGAAGGGCTAGAACCTATAGCCGTAAAGCCAGTTAAATAAAAAAGCATTTTTAATTGTAAGAATGATATTAAAAAGGATTCCAGAGATTTATATCCTGGACTCATCACGGTCTAATGAGGTGTTATTGCGTAGGATACGATACACAATTTTAAAATGTTTTCTTGGGCGTTATTATCCGTGGCATCAAGTGTCAATTAAATTCAAACTTTTATTTACGTTGAATACATTAATGTAACATTAGTGCTTCCTAAAATATAAAAATTCATACTAAATCATACTCTAGTTAATGCTTCTACGGCTCGGCATACTATTTTCGTAATCGTCAAGGTTATCGATCTTTTTAAGACTATTGCTGAAAATGGACATTTCGAGGAAGTGCCGGAAGGTATTTTATTTTCTTATACAAATTAGGCACATATTCCTACTCCATCCTCGATTAGAAATCATAATACAAATGCGTTGTGATCCTGACTACGGTTGTCTTCACTACAATATTACTGGTAAGGTCTCTTTACTGGGGTAGTCAGTAGTGGAGATGAGATGCCTGCGAAATTTCGCTTGATTTGTTATACGTGGTTAATATTCAACTTCGTATTTAACTGAAACTGTTCGAATAAACTACAAATAAATGTTACCGGAACTGTCTAGTAAAGTTAGACTTTTACTTCTTCATCGTAGCGTCCTAACTATTGAAAACTTTTTATTAGAAAGTTTTATTTTATTTCTGAGGTCCATTTAAGGTTTCACACTTTAGTTTTAAACAACGAACTTTGTTATACTAAGCCATTTAAATACTCTATTTTAATAGCTTTTTCAATTAAAATCAATAGTACTTCATCAGTTTTTTTTTAAATTTTTAATGAACTTCTATTGCCAAAATTTTTAGATGTACATGTTGTTTGATACAATATAAAGGACTTTGTTTGGAACTTTTATAAGATACAATAATTAAGAATGTTGGATAGATAACTGGTAAGTTCGAAATACGCGTGCAGAGTTCAATGTAACTGACGTATTCTGTTACTAACGTACTAAATGGTGAAAACTCACTCGAGCTTTTTTTTATAAGTGATATTCATAAAGCTATAAACAGTAAAATGTTTGTATTAATAAAATATTTTTTTGTAATGTAAAATATTCGGTGTGTATTCTATTGTTTAAAATTGTTAATTCATTCCGATAGCAAAAATGCTATGATGTAAAAGTTATTGTGCAAATAAACAAACTTAATTACGACATATTTAGCCGCTAGTTTTAATGAACTTCAGCGTTACAAACTTTGTTCAACTCGAAACTAGTAGGAAGACGCACACCGATTCATTATAACTCGGGAGTTACTCAAACCTTGTCAAGATTGACGTGCAGATACTGCAGCCGCCAATATTGTTAACTTGTAAACTATTGTAGACTTGTAACGCTGCAGTCAACTTCGCTCCTAGTTAGTAGTTACTTTACTACCAGAATGGAAGTAAAGTGTAGAAAGTTGTGCGAGTTGCTATTTTGATGAATTGAAAAAGCTTTGAAGTATGGAAGAAATACGTCAAGACGAATGTAGATCGCTAAGTAATAACTTTAAATAGCATTTAAAGAATCGCTTACCCGCATCTGTCTAAGTATTCGCTTGAAACTATTCAAGAACTTGATAGATTTTAATGCGGTTTTCTCCATTATTTATAGGATTTCTTCTAGTCATAGTAGGTAAAGATATATTTCTGCACCGTGTCTTAAACATGTAATTTTTTTAGGTGTGTTACTGTCAAGCTACAAAATATACTTGTAGTAGTAGCACGAATTGGTCGGCTCGACCGGGGAAGTGCGATAAGTGCGACAACATTGACATGGGTAGCATCGGTTTTATACGTGGTAAAGCCATGCTGCAGTTATATTAGTAGTATAGTTATAGCACGAATTCGTCGGCTCGACCGGGGAAGAACCAAGCTCTCACAAAATGCCAGCATAAAATAGCAAATTAACTCTGCCGTTTCGTATGTCGAATCCAAGTCTAACAGACTGGTGACAAGATTGCATCGGTTTTACCATGTTGTAGTTATATTAGTAGTATAGTTGTAGCACGAATGGGTCAGCTCGACCGGGGAAGGACCACGCTCTCACAGAATACTAGCGTTAAATAGTAGCTTAATGCTGCTATTTTTCGTATGGATAGTGTATAGAACCAGAGTCCCTTTTTACTTGAAATGAGGCATTCCATCTTAGCCCTCACGGGTGACAACACATCTGCATTTTGATCCGTAATCGAGGATAGGTGTAGATGTCTGTGGGCCACAGCAACCACGTACCATCAGGTGGACTATGTGCTCGTTTGTCACCAATCATATAACAAAAACCTGTGTGCCTCGTGTAGTTGCATATGGGTAACGTATTCAAAGAAAATTATGACAGTTGATTTACTATTATTAACCTGCATCTAGCAGTTGGTATAAAGCTGTATCTACCGTCACCGTTACAACCTATTAAAGTCCACAGCTGAACATAGGCCTCCTCCATAGATTGCCTCATAGGTGGAATATTTACCATAGTTGCCACACTTGGCAAGCGGGTTGGCAACTGCACCTTTTTTATTTTTAGTCGTTTTTATGAAGACGCTGCTGCCCGTCTCCAAATTTCTTGCCCTCTGCTGCCTCTTACGACACCGCCGGGATGACATGGAATAGTGGATAGAAAAAAAGAGTGGTAACTAGTTGTAAGTTGTTGTTATTTATATCCCATAATATAAGGTGTGTGGTTCGAATATCGGGTCGGGCCAAAAAATCAGTTATTGAGTTTTCCGCTAAGAAATTCTCACTGGCTGCCCGGAGTCACGAAGTTGGCAGTGTCTCACCCTCAGAAAGCAGGTGAAGTCGTTGGACCTGCGCCTGATCTCTAACTGATCGTGTCGGTTTACCGTCCCATCGGATTATCAGAGTGAGGGAATAGAGAGTGCACCTGTGCTTGTGCATACTTAGGCACTGCGATCACGTCCTGCGCCGATGGCTAGTCTCCGTTGAGGCAGGCCGACGTGACCGGAATTCGGTCTGGAGGACATTATTATTATTATGGAGTAGTGAATATTCTTACACAGCCACTACACGCCAAAAATTTTTATCTAGCAGTGGATTAAATATGGTGATAGAAAAGAATAGAGCGGTAGTTGTAAGTTGTTGTTGTTTATATCCCATATTATAAGTTGTGTAGGTAATAAAGAGTAAATAAAATAAAACAAAGTTGTCCACGTTGTGAAAATTACCTTTATGCGGCATCTTCCAGAAGGCTTCTGCCGCCGTGGTGGGTTCCCGCGGCGGCGGCACCAGCCCGCCGACCAGCGTGGTGGCGGCGTGCGCGGGCGCCGGCGCCCGCCCCCAGCCCCCGTGCAGCGCCACCACAACGCCTTGCCGTCTGCCACCACCACTAACTTACTTCAGCGATGCTTACTCGCCGAGGAGTTAGAACATCCACGGAACTGTAAATAAAATCGTGATTAAGAATAAAGTAAAGTGAAGTTACAGCCTATACATGTTATTCGCTGGGCGCAGGCCTCCCATCATTTCTGTGAGGTTGCTTTTAGGGCAAGGAGGTGTACAACGCGCTGCCTAACTGCGTGTTGGCAGTCTTCATATATCTTAGATTTTTTTTAATTTATCAAAATTGCAAATTTCCTCACTTAGTTTTCATTCACTAGCGAACACGTGGTAAATCGGCATTTAAAATTGCAATTAACAATGTCATGGTTACCAGCGGGGATTCAAACCAGGTTGATCGACTGTGTGAATGCTGTAGCCCCTGAGCTAATACGGCTCGGATTAAGAATAGCTTTCAGTATTTGTTTAAGACTGAGTTATGTAAAAAAAACCATCTTTGATTTTTCGTCTTTTTCTTAACCAGTCCGTAAACGTTAGCGAGTTATAAGTCTCACCGGTTGTAGATTTGCCTTTATAGATACGTTTGGCAATTTAGCTGGCAATCACAGATAAGACGTCTCCTCTCACGCTCTCCTCTCCTGTCAGGATTTTCATGTCTGAGTAAACATGATGGGAGTATTTATTTGAAATCATGAGATCATTCTGTACGTATACCACAATTGCTTTTTACAACAACAGATGGAAGAAATTTTTGATAATGAAAAAATAAAATATACCTACCTCATATCTCAGTATAGGCGGTTCTTAAAAGAAATTCACATTCATTCTGTAACTGTCCACCTCTCCAGATTGTGTTTCAGACTGTTGACTAGTCACCAAGTCTCTAGTGCTCTTGACACTACCGTTAGAAGCATAGCTGTATTACTTTTTTTATCATTCTAATACTTTATCTGAATCAATTAGTTCAAAAAAAATGTTTGTATTGGTATTAAATGTCTACCGTATGATTAATACGAGGGATGATCTAAAAGTAATGATAATCGGTTACTTCAGCTCCGCATAAAAATCCAAAAAAAATATTTTTTGCTTGCTTATATACTCACTACGTCAGTCTAAAAAAATCATATAAATTGATCACGATTTCCAGGAGATACATTCATTTGAATACGAACTGTCAAAGAGATAACATCAACATGGAGAAAAACGAAATTAGAGCTGTCATCAAGTACCTCTGTTTGAAAAAAATGTCTTCAAAAGACATACACAGTGACTTAGTGGAAACGTTGGGGGACTCTGCTCCTCCATATTCTACAGTTGCACGCTGGGTCAAGGAGTTTAAACTGGGCAGAACATCCACTGAAGATGAACATCGCGAAGGACGCCCATCCACGTCCCCACTGAAGACAACGTGAAAAAAGTCGAAGATGTTGTGTTGGCAGATCGAAGAGTGACCATCAGGCATGTAGCTGAAGTCACAGGGATCTCATATGGCAGCGTTCAAAGAACCCTTGCGAACGAGTTGCATATGAAAAAGGTCTCTAAGAAGATTACGGGAGGGGATTAAGGAAAAAAGACGCGGCAAACTGCGAGCTGGAGTGCTGTTTCACCAAGACAACGCACCGGCTCACAAAGCCGCAGTTGCGATGGCTGCCATTCAAGAAACGGGATTCGAACTGCTCGAACACCCTCCCTATTCGCCAGACCTAGCTCCTAATGACTTTTACCTCTTTCCTCGGCTCAAGGAACGCCTCCGAGGCAAGAAATTCTAAGACGATAGCGAAGTAATGGCCGCTGTTGAAGCGTTTTGGGAGGGTCAAGACAAAGAATTTTTTTCAAAGGGAATCCTGGATTTAGAAATAAGATGGACTAAATGTATTGTTTTGGTAGGAGACTATGTAGAAAAATAAACTATTATTTTAACTTTAACTACCGTGTTTTAATTTCATTATCATTACTTTTGGATCACCCCTCGTACATTGACGTAAATAAAATTTGCTAACCATAATTAAAATTAATTGAGACAAAAATATTTGAAAGGAAGTTTAAAGAATGTCTTAACGTAAGTTATTTTTGATCGGAAGAAAAACCGTTAATATCACTGAAACTGCGCACCGACCTTAATAAGTGAAACAATCGAATCATCAATAATAATCAAGACTGTATCTAGCTTCTCACGAGAGAAAAGGTTGGATGCTAATTGGAGGATGATTCTGAATTGCGTTGGAGAGCGCCATCTATTGTTGCATAGTAGAAATAGTTGCGGCGTTCGTGAGTACCGATATTGATCGATGAATCTCGGTAATGAAGCGATGGAGATATGATAGCTGGAAGCCGTACCACCCATCACGCCAGCAACTGAACGGTAGTCGGACTTGTATGTCAATCTGTCGTATGTTTGATTTTTTTATTGTTTGATTAAGATGTTGGCAATAGGAAAAGAGAAGTATTGTCGATATATTTAGAGAAATATTTCTTTCCATTTGATTTATTGATTTTTTTTATTATTGTGCATATTTTGAAATATTGGTAATTCTCTTTTTAAATATAATTTAACCTTAATAGAGAAAAATTAAATAAAGAACTGTTTATGTAGAAAATAGGCAGTTCAATTAAGTTAATAAGAAATTCACTATTAAAGCACGTTTAAGCATCACTTTGCCAAATAATTACTTAATAACGGCAATTACATTTCAAGACAAATCTGGTAATATTAGACATGGCTTGTCACCACTGGTTGCAGTTAACGGAAATTTATTGTATTTATGTCATGTTAATTAATGAAGCCGTGGTAGCTCAGATGGTTAACGCTCGCTGTAAATATAACAGAACGCGAGTAATTCGGGTTCGATCCCCGCCGGCACCAATAAAATTGTTAATTGCAATTTTAAGTGCTGACCACCACGTGCGCGGCGGTGAAGGAAAACATCGTGAGGAAACCTGCATGTCTGAAGAATAAGAAAAAAATATTTCGAAGACATGTGAAGTTCGCCAACACGCATTGGGGCAGCGCGGCGGACTCTTCCTTGCCCTAAAACCCTCTCAGAAATGAGGGGAGGCCTGTGCTCAGCAGTAGGACGTATATAGGCTGCAACTTTACTTTAACTAATGAATATATCATGTGACTTTTAACATAGATTCTTCTATTAAGCTCAAGTTGTCTCTACTTCCGTAGTCATCTAAATGTCGAAATTTTAATAAGTTGGTAATTTATATAAATATCTAGTGATCTGCCCTGGCTTCGCAGGGGTGATATCTGGATTCTACACCAGCGCCACCTACCGAGCCCAACTATGCCTAATAACCTTAGTGGAAGCAATATGTTGACAAAGTTTTCTCGCAATCTGATGAACGGTATGCCAGCGAATAAAATACAAACACACAAATATTGATTTTTATATATTAGATTTACTACTATTTTTTTTCATTTTTCTAATGAGCTATAATAAGCCTTCCATTAAATAGGTCTAAATAACTAATATATTATACAAAATATTTTAATATATCATTTCGATAAATAAATTTTTTGAACAGACGACCAAATAAATGAGGTATAGTTCTGAACATAATTTGTACTATCTAGACTCACGCAATAAGCAACGACTCTTAAAACACTTTGCCAGTGCAAAAAAATCAAATAGCGGAGACATAATAAAAGTAGCAGGTACTCAAATATCGGTACACGTATTTGATCTTTTCAAGTCCCAATCGAATGACTCGACTTTGATATTTCCCCTCGTGGCGCACAATGGGCCAAAGGTTCGACCCTCAGGGTCGATAGACTTTGAGTCTAGTCAAAGCGAGTGCCTGCTAAATTGGATTCAGACTAATGTGGAATCGTAGAGGTCGCGTGGACACTAATAGAGTGTTCCTTTTGAAATCCGCAGCCACTTCCATAATGACACCGGGTTTTAATAGCTGGTGGCATTTTATTTATAATTAAAGTAAATAAAAAGACGTTCGTTATGTTTCATGATATATATTTTTATACGTGGTAGAGTCACGCTGCAGTTATATTAGAAGTATAGTTGTAGCACGAATGGGTCGGCTCGACCGGGGAAGAATCACGCTCTCACAGAACACCAGCGTGAAATAGTAGCTTAATGCTGCCGTGTTTCATATGGTGAGTGTAGAAAATCGGAGACCCTTTTTACTGGAAACGAGGCATTCCATCTAAGTCCTCACGGATGACAACGCATCTGCATTTTTATTCGTAATCGAGGATAGATAGAGATGTCTATGGGACTGTGTGATCGTTTGTCACCCTATTCTATAAAATAAATAAAATATATTTTTTAGGTTTTCCATAAAGGTAACTTTAACTCTAAAGATATAAAAAGATACTTTAGAAATGAAGTTTATAACAATCAAGCAGCCACACAGCGAGTCGTCAGTATCCTATTGAATTACAGACAAAAGTGGTGGCAAACACAAATCTTTAATTTATTTAACGAAGACATTAGAAAATACAAGAGATTTGTAGTAATTTTTATATTTTATTTTTAAAATGTCACAAAATTTATTTTTCTACAATTGTAACAGAGATTTGGCCAGGTACAACTAGCATACAATTTAAAACAAATTCTCAACGCTGTCTACCTGAAAATTAGAGAACGCCTCGCTACTTATTTGTGTAACAAAACATATCTTAATATATATAAGTTACGTGCCACGTTGTTTGTCCGCGATGGACTCCTAACTTACTTAACCAATTTTAATCAAATTTACACACTATATGCAGTTTGGTCCAACTTGAGAGATAGGATAGTTTTTTTGTCCATGAGTGACCCACAATTTTTTTTGCGAATTTAAGTATTTTAATAGGACATGACAGGGTCGTCAAAAAGGGCAGAACAACTTCTGCCTGGCAAGTTAGTATATATAAAAAGATCAATAAAAGTTATTTAACATTATTAAAAATATCCTATTAAGTATATTGCAAATTCTTACAGCATTATATTCTTGTTAAAATCGACCAGCAACTTTCCACGTCAAAGTCGTAAACGTCGTGAAGATATACCCAGCAAGTGGCATCCCGTGCTGGCATCTCGACATCATAACAAAATATAATACATCACAAGCAATCAAACGTCCGCTTATCGCGAGCCGAGATCGGCGGGCGCCTTTATAAACTCGTTATCAGCCACACTCGGCGAAGTATCGGCTTACTTCGGTATATACAAAAAGTTGTTTCTAATTAGGATAATTAGCTATAGGTTCAGCTTGGAGTAGCCCCGTCAGACGCCTGTGGGAAAAGTTGTTGAAGCACTTGCGAGTTATTTTAAAAGTCTAAGGACGGACTCCTTCCGGCTTAGTCTCGTTTTTAATATTTACGTAGGCATCTGATGTATTTAATATACCTTAAAATATTATTCTGTAATAAGTTTTAAGGTTGAAAAGAAATCGTTTTAGAATGTTTTTTTTATAGAATAAGGGTGACAAACGAGCACACAGTCCACCTGATGGTAAGTGGATGCTGTGGCTCATAGTTATCAACATTTAACCTCGATTAAGAATCAAAATGCAGATGCGTTAAGGACTAAAATGGAATGCCTCGATTCCAGTAAAAAGGGTCTCCGGTTCTCCACACTCACCATACGAAACACAGCAGCATCAAGCTGCTATTTTAGACTGATATTATGTGAGAGCGTGGTCCTTCCCCGTTCGAGCCGACCCTTTTGTGCTACAATCATAATATAGCTGCAGCGTAGCTCTACTACGTAGGTATAACAACGTGTTTCTGTTCATTTTTACGATTCTATTACTTTTTTATGAAGTAAAGTTAGTAGTTTACATATATAACATTTTATAAGGACAAACATTCAGACCCGGAACAATTATTTGTAGGCCATACAAATTACCTATTCCATGCAGAATTCGAACCCGCGGCCCTTAGCGGTGCAACTCACTGCTAAACCACTGCGCCACGAAGCCGTCAAACTTCTTAGTCAATATTTAATTATTTTGATATATTTTTACTGTTATCTGCTGGTTCAGCAATCCTTTCTTGCCTTCTATTATTATTATAGGTTCATACATATATAGTTTATTAGATATTACCACATCAGTTCTAACATTAAACAATGCCTCGTTGGTCTAGTGGTTGTAGGTGCGACTGCTGATCATAATGTCCTGGGTTCGAATCCCGGGTCGGGACAAAAAATTAATTATTGAGTTTTTCCGTCAAGAAATTCTCAGTAGTTACCCGGAGAGTCAGGAAGTTGACGGTGTCTCGCCCCCGTGCCTCGGAAAGCACGTAAAGCCGTTGGTCCTGCGCCTGATCTCTCTCCGGTCGTGTCGGTTTACTGTCCCATCGGATTATGAGAGTGAGGGAATAGAGAGTGCACCTGTGCTTGCGCATACACTTGGGCACTATAATCCTATCCTGCGCCGATGGCTAGCCTCCGTTGAGGCAGGCTGCCGTGGCCGAAATTCGGTCTGGAGGACATTATTACTTTCCATAAAAATAGTATCCTAGTAGGTACTTTTCATCTCAGCGACAGTTCTTGGTTAGCATCCAGGAGTTGCCAACCATTGAAATATTACTACTACGCTAGTATTATAGTTCGATGCTGTCAACTGGGTTTACTGTATTATAGAGATAACAGTGCATAATATTATGTATGAACAAAGCATTTCACTAGCAAATATTAAGCTAGAAAAGTAGTGAATGAACATTACAAGAATGTCGATTTTTTTAACCCAGCCGATATGGAATATACATTATAAAAGATTCGAGCTAAGCAAGAGTACGCAAATGTTGAAAAACAGTTACCCGTTGTAAGTGGCCGTCTGAGAACGTCAAAGGCCCCAACTCGGCATGCAGAGCACTCTAAACGGGTACAAAGTCGTTGCCGACGATTTAAAAATTTCAACTAAGCTATGGCTAGAGGTGGCCCGTCGATTGAGCTGTTTTTTAGTGATATTATATTGTTTGATAAGTTTTATATGTGTTAAAAGTTAGCCGTGACTTCTTATCCATGGAATCAAAACAACGAAAAGATACTTATTATGTTTAACAATAAACAACAACGCTATAAATAAATATATTTAGTTAATAAAAAGCTTATTATTGTTAACTTAATTTTACTTTGACTTATGTTTTTGATATTGAAAAGAAAATACACCATTTTAAGTAAATTCATTATTTGAAAAAAAATTTTAGAGACTTCAACAATTTCTAACTTTTAGACTCTAACAACTTATGAACTTCAGGTTAAGAAGTTTAGTCCAGTCCGGTTTTCTTCCAGGATAATGACACTAGAGCAATTAATTTTTACAATACAATACCTATATATCTACAATTTCTATTTTATCCCTATGTTTTTGCATAAATAAATTATTTTAAGAACTAGGAACTTTTTATTTTATATAACTATTTGAATCTGCGAGCTGTTGTGCTGAAGTTTTACCGCCGATGTAAGACATTCATGAAACAAATTTAACGAACATGAAAATTAAAACAAAAGCATACAGACATAGTCGCAATTCTTCTTATTTTGTTCTTAAAAGATATTCGGTCCAGTTTTGGAGAAGGAAACGGGTATACGGGAATTTTTCATAGATCAGTTCGAGCTACTGCAGTTGTCCCTCTCGATAATCTAGCCCGGTCATTGAGCACATCAATGGATCGTTAAAAACCTATTCTTCAAATATCTTGCAGCTCGGATGTCCCCGTAACGTCTAAAACTTCTATAACTACCGCACAAGTAATAAAACTAGTGCGTTTGTTATGGATTGTCTTTACTTTTTACGATTTTCACCTCTATGAACGTCGTATATTTTAAGAGAAAATTTTTAGAAAAAATTTTATTAACTTTTTATTGCATTTCCTATACCAAAAGTATATAAAAGCTGACTATTGCATTAGACACTCTCTTTGTGATTTAAAACGTCATATAGAAAATCTGAAATCTAGTTTGCCATTTATTAGTAGAACTGAACTTCAGTCAGAAATTCAAATTAAGAAGAAGTTTAAGATTTTAATGATGATGAAAATTAAATCAAACAGAATAAAATTATATATACGAAAAATTACATTAATGAATAATAAAATACCGACAGATGAAAATTAAATTTTAAAATCCCTAGAAATTTGTACAAGTTATTTCGTCTGTAAAAAACTATTGTAAATTCATACTGCAACGCTTCAAAATATCGAGGTCTACAAAGAATCTATTTCACAGCACTAAGCGCGTTTCCACAAGTTCTCTTAAAGATCGGATGTCTGGTAGGTTCCGCTTGCGCACACCTCATTAGATCCCACTTTGATTCAGCGTCGTTCGTCGGGACGCAGGTGGCGCTAATGCCTGGCGCTTTACTGAATAGATTTACTAATCGAATTCCGGATTCCGGAACACTTGCTCTTTTCTTTTAACATTTGACACTTACATGGTTTTATTTTCCTTTTTATGTTTATTGACACATCAACTGCGTGTGTAAGAGTGAGTTTTGTGACTGAAGTTTCTGTTATTCTTGTGGATATTTATATGGGTCTTATTTTTAGTTGAAAATAAATAAACATCTTACCAAATTGTCACTTAATGGATAGAATCTTCAAAAATAGCAAAGACAGAAAAATGCTTATTCAACCCAGCTATTAAGATTCATTTTCGGGGAAAACTGTTTCTATAGACCTCATGCTTATATTTAATATATTTTGTGTGTTGGTACTACGTTTGCAACGAATTGGGTTACTTAACTATTGTTAAAAGAATTAATAACGTTTTAATGCATTTTGAATATAGATATTTTTATACTTTAACAATTACTTCAAATTGCTTTCTTGACTTTTAAACTATTGTTATTACTAAGTCCATTTAGTTGAATTTGTTATAAGCCATTTACAATAATCTCTTAAAAATCGAAGTAAAAATAACAGAAATTATTTTTTTTTAAATAAAGCGCAAGAAATAGATATTATAAACGTAATTTAATAAAGCCATGTTATATATAAAGTGAATTGTAAAAAAAATTCAAATTCCGAATTTTGAAACGACTGTTTTGGACGCAGCTGTGTTGCGCTTTAGGGTACTTACAGGTGAATAGCCAGGGATGCCTGATGAATCTTTACAGTCACGCTCACATTTATATCAGATTCAAAGTAATTTTAAAGTGCGTGCTTTGTGAAAACATATAACCCATTCCGCTGAGAGCACTTACTCGTTTAGGTTTGAAACGTCAAAGGCGCTCTTCCTTTTCACTGCGTTTTTATAAAATAAAGCGAAGCGGGGCGCTTTCTGTATACTTACATAATTAACAGGGATGTGACGTATCCGTTAACTTTTTAAAGTTGGTATGTATGCATGCCTAGTGGGCCCTTTGAATTGTGGAGTATCATAATGAACGTATGATGTTTTTGCCTTTGCGTTTTCTTTTTTAAACATTTTTAATCTATGTTTATATATAATATTGTCGCAATTCTGCAAATTGTCTGTGCTAGGCTTACCTGTTAACTTTGTACAAATGTTATGATTTTAAATACTTTTCGCAATTCAAATTTTGTCTGGTGTGAGCTTTACATTATAAAATTGTTTATTTATTTATTTATTTCAGGGACATTGTACAATAAGTTGTTATATTATAACAGTTAGGATCATACGTCACAAAGATTCTTCAAAATTGATGCTTTATAAATTAATGTAAAAAACAAATTCACCAAAGCGTCCTGAATGGGAAAAGTCTGATGTAGTTTAAGCAGTCAATAGTACCTACCGATAGCACTGACTTTTTATTATAATACAGTTTTTATGTCTTGTTTTGTTACATTTCGTTTTTTTATAGTATTGGGTGACAAACGAGCGCACAGTCCACCTGAGGGTAAGTGGATGCTGTAGCCCATAGACATCCACATTTATCCTCAATTAAGAATCAAAATGCGTTGTCACCCCTGAGGACTGAGATGGGGCGTCTCGATTCCAGTAAAAAAGGGTCTCCGGTTCTCTACACCCACAAC